CACACACACACTTGGGTAAGAAAGGCTCACTGACGACGCCGGTCCTAGGGCCTGGGCCAGCGGGTGTGGTCGTCCCTTTCCTTTCCGTAGTCCGCTCGCTCCGCCCCGTGCCCTGAGACTCACCCGCGGTCGCGTCAGGGGAGCGTGTCCCGCGCGGGCTGCCGTAGCGCCGCTCCCTGCCGCTGTGTCCGGAACATGGCGGCCTCCGAGTGCGGGTTGGCTTCGGGTCCCGGCGGCGTCGAAGGCGAGGAAGAGACGATCCTCTACGACTTGCTGGTCAACGCCGAGTGGCCGCCGGAGACAGAAGTGCAGGTGAAGCGGGTCTTGACGGCGGCGGCTCGATCGGCAGGCTGAGCCTTCGCCGAGCCACGTCGCCAACTTGGGGGGGCGGCAGTCGCCCTGGCAACGGCGCGGGCCGGGCGGTGGGGGGTCCCCGTCTTCAGCCGGCCGAGACTAGGGGTGCGGTGGCCACGCAGCCCCACCCGGCCGGCGTCGGGCCTCCTACAGGGCTGTCATCCTCCGGGACTCTGCTCCCTGACCAGCCAGGCAGCTTCATCTGCCCATGGAGATGCTGCTGGGCTGCAGGCCTCCCGCCCCCGGCTGGCCGCCGCGGATCCCTGCCAGGGGCCGGCGCACCCGGGATTGTGTGTTTCAATAAAGAAGCATTTGGTGCCGGGCTGGTGGCGCACATCTGTCTCCCCAGCACTCGGGAAGCTGAAGCAGGAGGATCGCTGCGAGTTCAGCCTGGGCTACATAGTTCAGGGCTAGCCTGAGCTGCACAGCGAAACTTTGCCTTCAAAAAAAAAAAAAAAGCATTCGATGATTGCCTGAGTGTTCATGTGTCCATCTGTCCATGTATCCACATGCCCATCTATCTATGTGTCCATATGTCCACCTGCCCGTGTGTCCGTCTGTCCACATGTCCATCTGGTCGTCTGTCTGTGTCTGTGCAAGTATTATGTGAGGCACCGAGGACACAGAGATGAACTGAGCCACCTTGGCTCGTCCAGTCTAGCGGGGAGAGCCTGCGGTAAAGTTTCCTCATGAATTAGCAGAATGTAATCGCTCAAAATGCCACAGGAGTGAAGAGAAAGGAGCTACTGACGAGAGTTCTCAGCTAGGGAAAAAATTACAATGATGGGAACTTAAGAGCTGGACCTTGACGTAACTGGATGTCTCCTAGGTAGAGATGTCAGGTTTAGGGTGAAGAGTAGAGGTCACATCCTGTGTATATTCAACACACCTGAACAACGGAATTATTTAACATACCAGTTGTGTAGTTGGGTTTCGCTAGTACCATTGTCTCTATGCATATACTCGGTGGACTTGCCTCAAGAAGGGAGTTAAGGAGTCCATGTAACCCATTCTCCTCTGAACAGAGCTTGTTAGAGGTCTGTGCCACCCTCCTCCATAGACCTTGATGAGCTGCTGCAGCCAGTCTGGTCTTTGTGCTGGACTTCTCCCGCCTTTCTCTTGGTGTTTCGATGTGGAACAGTTCCCCTGTGGTTCTGTAAGGTTCATCCTGATGCGGGCTGTGGCCTGCCATGCTCTGCCATAGTCCCATTGTACCGAGTCCTGAGTCAACTTGGTTTTTTTGATCTGTAGGTGATTTTAAAATGCTGGTATTTTCTAACCAATTCTGGGAGTATTAGCGAGCATGCATTAGTGTTATGATAAAATTATCAAATGTATTCTTTTTAATTGTAGCCTCGAGGTAACCGAAAGCATGGGGCATCATGTATCATCACAAAAGCAATCCGAGGTAAATCCCCTTTATTTCTGTCTACGATATAGTTGGCAGTTTCTCTACATTTCATTCATAACTGCTATTTTCGAAAGTTTAGGGGTTTTGAAATGTGTTCTTTGGACTTCTCATGCTCATGTGGAGCCTAATAAAATGAAATAGTGTACATGTCTGTTTAGTTTTACACTTATTTATGTAAACAGATGCATACATGTGTGCATATGGGTTTTCATGCACATGTATGTTTAAAACAGTTTAGAGACTGCATATAGGAGAGGTTTAACCATTATAGGCTTTAGAAGAGCTAACGTACTCAATTTTCATGATCACAAACGCTTTGAAAGTTTGAACGTGTAGAAAATAACAGGGCCGGGGATATAGCTCAGTGGCACAGCGCCTGCTTGGCAAGCACAAGGTCCTGAGTTCGATTTCCAGTCCCCCTGTGAAAAAAAAATACACGAGTAATAAAAATTCATTATAGAAAATTTAGAAAATATAGGTAACCATGAGTTAAAATTATTTTTCCTCATTTTACAACCCAAAGACCTGAGGCTTTTTTCTGTTGATACACACCTAGCTGCATACACAGTGTATACATACTGGTGTATTCTAACCAGAGTCATATGAAGCGCTGTTATTGTTATCTGGTTGTTCTCAAGACTGAACCAAGCAAGGCCTTGTGCACGCTGGGCAGATACTCTGCCACTGAGCTGCACCGTGGCCCCACAGCACTGTGTTTTCAGTGTGCTGGAGATTTACTTTCCTGTTTTAGGCATTGTTGTTATTATTATTATTATTATTATTTTACATTTGCAATAAAGCATAAATTGGTATTTTGGTTTAATTTCTATGAAAATAATTTTAGTTTTAATGGTAATTACTGTGGTTTCTTGCCCATGGTTTCACAAAAGCTTCTTGGATTAAATTTCACATCTCTAACCACTTTTACTTTCCGTAGTTAGGAAATAACTTCAAAATTCTAACACATAAATTTAGAATTAATGTAAACAAATAACCTTGTAAAGGTTACAATATATATATTAGGTTATTCTCATTTTAGGCATTGCCTTCTCAATGTTTTGTTTTGTAATGACTCTCTCTGCAGTGTATTTTAGATTTTTCCTCTGTATACCTAATTTGAAAATGATTTTTAGAGGACAAATGATTTATATTTGGCTTTGTTGTTTCTTTTTATTACAGATCGTTTATTGTTTTTACGCCAATACCTCTGGTACAGGTGAGACTTCAGTTCTTCAGATAAACTGAAAATCAGATACAAATGTTATTTGTAATTATGTTTTCATGACTGAACCCCAGATCATGATACAGATGCTTACACTCAGCTGAGCCCATTTCTTTTTTGTTGTTGTTGTTGTCTTTTTGAGACAGGGTCTTGCTCTGCAGTACAGGCCGGCCTTGAGCTCGCTTTGTAGCCCAGGCTGGTCTTGAACTTGCAACGGTCCTCCTGCCTCAGCCTCCCGAGTGCTGGGATTGTAAATGTGAACCACCATGCCCGGCTCACAGCCATTTTCTAAGTAGAGATTTCACATGTTTTGGCCTGAGCTGGGGCCATCTCCATGGACTTGGTAATTTTCACTGCCTTTCTTATTATTAGGAATATTTCCTGATGACCCTGCTGCCCCTAATGAGTCTGGGCCTCATCTTGGATGCCCACATGGTGGGTCAGTGGTATCCCCAGCTTATTTAGAAAGCATTTTTGTCCAGAGTATCCCGTCAGCTCTCCTGTGCTCAGTATTAGGTGCTGTGTAGCAGTGAGGTTTCTTGGCATTTCCTTTTTGTGTATTTTTGAACTCTTGAGTATTATCTTCTCAGGCGTAGTATTGGTTTTCAGCTTTAAAATTAGACACACGGGGATTGCTTATTGCTTTTTCCCAATCCTAGTAGCCCCTGAGGTCAGATAGCTCCATGAACAAGACCTTGGCCTGTGTCTTGGGCCACAGTGGTGTTTGCTAGTGCAGTCTCCATCCCTGCATGCACACCGGGTCCTTCTCCGCTGGTGCTCAGGATCTGGTGTTACAGCGGAGAAGGTCGAGGAGGCGGGGAGTGGCTGCAGGGGAGCCTCGAGCCACTGTTACTGTGGGAGTGGGTGGCTGGAGGATGTGTCTGGCCTCGACAGCCCCCGGTCCTCTGTCAGAGGTGGCGGACGCAGGCCTTGCTCTCTCTGAGCACCTCCAGGGCAGGCTCCGTAGTGACTCTCTGTCTGCCTCCTGAGAATCCTTTCTCCTTGAAGTGGTCATCCTCAAATGACCAACTGAATAAAATTCAATTCTTCTTGAATTTTGTTTTGAAACGGGGTCATGCTAAGTTGCCCAGGCTGGCCTTAAACTTGTGATCCTCCTGCCTCAGCCTCCCAAGTAGCTAGCATTAGAGGGGCAACTTAGTGAGACTCCATCTCAGAAAACAAACACTCCCCCAAAAACCTTGTATGTTATTTAATTTTCGAATATTATAACATACTAAAAATTATAGACAGTGTAATAAAGCTGTTTGTGACTCATATCTGTATTTGAATTAAGGCTGCTGTTGCTATTTTGCTCTGTAGTTTTAGATACTCCCTTCTCTACGTAAGATGTTGCATCTCAAGTCCTCCTCCACGTTTCCTCACTGCTGCCCCTTCCAGAGGAATTACTGTCCCTATCCATGCATGTTTCACAGTTTTATTGTACTTCTCTAACTGCCTTAATACAATATTTTGTGTTTTAAAAATGGGCCTAAATATACCAAATACAATTTTTTGTGGTACTTTGTATTTTCCTTTTTTTATTTTAAAGAGAGAAAGATAAAAAAGGAAATAAAAACAATGATACAAAAAACAAAGAAACAAAAAAAATGATACAGAGTTTCAAAACAGGATAATAAGAAATTAACAATGGCTAATACATTGCATATTGTCTTCAAAGTAGTTGCTTAGATTATAAGATGTGGGCATGCAAAATTAATCAACTAATATAAGCATAAACTAATCTTTTCAATGGACTAAAAGAAGATAGAAGTATAATTACGTTAGCTATCCTGTATATATATTGCATACTTTATAAAATATATATTTTATAATGTATATTTAAAGTACAACATGTTTAAGTATACATATTAAAATATTTTATAATAAAATAATAATGTTATAACAAATGCATAATAAATAGCTATAACTCATTATAATAAAATATTTTATAATATATATATATATTTTCCCTTCCTTCTTCTTTCCCTCATCCAAGTTGTTCTTTCCATTGAGCAGTTTCTTACCCTTTCTCAATATCTACTGAAGATTTTGTATCTTATTTACTCTTAGTTTCTTACACTAGGGAAACAACGATGTTTACACATGCGAGTTTGATTTATTTCACTTATGATTACTGTCTCTAGTTGATAAGGGTCCTGCTTTGTAATTCAGGATGGCTGGTCTTGAATTTGTGGCAATCCTGCTGCCTCAGCCTCCTGAGTGCTCGGATTACAGATGTGTGCCGCCTCATGAGGGTCATACTTTGTGTTTTTTTATTTTGATAATGTATTTTTCCTTTCTTTCAAGTAATCATTTTCTTTAGTCTTCCTTTCCATTTCTTTGCTTGGTCTCTTCAGGTGTCAGCCCTCTTGTTCCTTGTGTCTCCCACCTCACTTATGGTATATGCTCAGTTCCCCGCGTCTTTTGTAGATGGCTGATTGTGATCCCAGGTGTGAGGGCTTGTGCTCATCTCCCCTTTCATACATTGCAAGTGTGGGCTCTTGATTTTTCATAGGAGATTTCACTTCCATCTTGCACAGACCAAAGTTCTCTGCAGAGATGTGAGCCCAGGACACTCTGGTCCTTGGGAAAGCATTTCCCATTCTCTCCCGGGCCCCACGCCAGCCTTTCCCCTCTGCCAAGTCCTGTTTGTGAGCGTTGTTTTTCCTCTTGCCCAGCTCTAGCTTTGAGTTACCTTTTCATTACTGGTGCTTAGGAAATTTCTCTTTGTTTTTGGTGTTTAACTCCAAACTAGAATTTGTTTTGGTTAAGGTCGAGCCAGAATTTTTAGGTGGTCATAGGTAAAAGTGCTCTTTGTTCTATAATCAGTGCCCTTGGTAACTTCTTTAAATCCCAGTACTGGGGATTGAACCCAGGGCCTTGTGTGTGCTTGGCCAGTGCTCTGTGACTGAGCTGTATCTTAAGCCTTTAAAAAAATTTCTTCTTTTTAAACATTTTATTTAATTTGTTTATTTATTTTTATTACAAAACGCAATTTATTTATTTTTATTGCAATTTACTTTTCTAAAAAATGCAACCGTGAGAACAGAAAACTAAGACTCACTAACCCTTGCAGGACAGAAAAACGCCTTGGACAGAGTCTAAAAGTGGTTATACCTAATGTCTGCCTTCCTTATCACTCAACAGCTGAATGTTAAACATTTTATTTTAAACATTATTTTAAAACAGGGTCACTGGGTTGTCCAGGCTGGCCTTGACCTTGTGCTCCTCCTGCCTGTTTTCTAAAACTAGAGAACTGTCCATGGTAAAATTTCAGATATCAAGTTAGTACTTTTGGTTTGGTGTTTGCTAGTATTCAAATTTTTTATTCTAATGGAAAAAAAATTTTGTGTCTCTCCTTTAGGTACCTGTACTGTTTATAACATTTACCTACTTATTTGTGGCTTTTGTGATTAGATTTAAGTGAGCTAATGTGTTTGTTGGTTTCAGCCCTGCTCCTTTTTTGCTCCCTGATGGCCTGGTCCGATTGGTGAATAAACAGATAAGCTGGCATTTGGTCCTTGCGAGGTAAGGAGGTGTGAAATCCACCTGTGTTTCTGAGTTGGCTTTGCATTTTTATTATGGGCATTCGTTTTGGGGCCCTTAAAACTTCGATGCTCAGCTTTTGTCCTGCATAAATTCTTTGTTGCATATAATCAGTATTGTTTAGAGATGTTTATTCAATCTACATTGAGTCATTTTTATGCTTTTTTGTCTATATAGGCATCTAATTATAAGGTTGAAAGATAATTACCAAGTAGTAAGAGGCAGAGCAGAATGTGAGCTCAGGCCTCTCTGCAGAGCCCATTCTGTCAACCCCTAATATGTAGTTTCAGCCACTGAAAGCCAAGGATGAGAGATGACAGTTTTCTTAGGCAACATGATTTTCATCCTATGATTAATAAACAGAACAATTCCATATGCCATGTCTTCCTCAGAGAAAAATTCCAGAGATGTTCATTGTAAGAAATGTTGGTAACAAAACATGTAAATATGAAATCAACCATATGTTAACATAATCATATTAAACCATAACAGGTAAATCACTTTTGTGTAAACACCAACTTGTGGGTGATGCCTCCTCGAGTTTCTCTTATTTCTACTTCCCCAGGTCTCTGCAGTCTCCTGAGTGGTTCACTTTTTCAGAGAATAAAGCTTGTCTTGCACTCTGGAATTTAAAGAAATATTCAATTGTTTAATTTTTTTTTTTTTTTTTCTGGCACCGGGAATTGAATTTCAGGACCTTGCACTTGCCAGGCAGGTGCTGTGTTGTTGAGCTATATCCCCGGCCCATTTCAATCCTTTAAAAAAATGATGGATAATTAAAGCAAAAAATTTAAAATTAGTACAACTTTAAAAAGTAATTTAATCTGTACTGAAGATATCAAGTGAGTAGCTGTTGGCTTGGGGTTTACAGTACAAATATTCACAGTGGCTTTTCCCATTCTTCCTTTGAAAGCAACGGGAAGCTGCTGGCTGCTGTTGAGGACCAGTGTGTGGAGATCAGGTAACTGTTGACACTGCTCATCTGTAAGGGTTTCTTTGAGAAAAACTACCTGATGGGTAGGAACTAAGTTTTTAACTTTTTCAAAGGCAGTGTATTTAAAACAATTTAAAAAATGATTTGACCACTAAATCACTTTTGTGTAGTATCAAACACCAACTTGTGGGTGATACCTCCTCGAGGAGTTTCTCTTATTTCTACTTCCCCAGGTCTCTGCAGTCTCCTGAGTGGTTCACTTTTTCAGAGAATAAAGCTTGTCTTGCACTCTGGAAGTCACTCCTTTTGGCCATTTACTAAGTGAGCTGAATAGATGCTCTGGAAGGTGCAGAAAAGAGCAAGGTGGCTTTGCTATGTCGGCTGAGGCCGTAGATCAGATGGGTGTACAGGGGGTGATGGTTGTGCATCAGCTACGTGCACAGTGCCGTCGGCTCAGGGCTCCCAGTGCTGTCACATGCTCCTCCTGAAGACCGTGAGAGTCTCATTCATGTGAGGCACTAGACCATCTGATAGATGGAATGGTTTAGTGTTTATTGTCCCATAGAAAAGCTGCGAAATCTACAATATGTATAGTGTCTTTGTTGTTCTTTTTCGTGGTGCTGAAGATTGAATCCAGGGCCTTTGTATGGAGCTCCCCAACTCCTTTTAAATTTTTTTTTAAATTTTGAGACAGATCTTGCTAAGTTTCTCAGGGAGAGCTTGAACTTGCAGTCTTTCAGCCTCAGCCTCCCTGAGGGGTGGGATTATGGGCCTGCACCACTGTGCCTGGCTTGTCATGCCTGAGAGACCCACGATAACTATTAGTGTGAAACTGTTATCTTGATTTGCATATATTTTTCAGGTCTGCAAAAGATGATTTTACGTCTATTATTGGGAAATGTCAAGGTAAGGGTTTCCAAAATATTTTAAAAAAGAAAATTTCAAATCTATAATGCTTTATAATATTTATTAAATTAGAATAAATATTAAATACATATTTATGAATGATTTTTATGGCTGTTTATTGAAAGTTTTAAAAATTGTAACTAGTTTTTCTAAATTCCTTGAATATTTTGCATACTGGGTAGATTTAAAATTTAAACTATTTTTAAAATGTCTAAGCCAGTTTGGGATAAAGTATTCGTAAGTATCTGTAATTTTTACTTTGGATTCAGTGTAGACATATTTAGTTATAAGTCAAGGTTGGTCAGATACAGACTAATGAAAACATCTGGGATTGATAGTTCTTTGAGATAGCTAGCAAAAATTTATTAAGCGTGTAATATGAAGTATAGTAAAAATACAGTGAATGCTTAGAGTAAAAGATGCATTGTCATTAATCCCCATCAAAATACTTCCCTGTGCTTTAAATGCACTTATTGCATCATCCTTGCTACTTCCTGTAGCAGCTCTGGGGTCCTCTCTCCTGAGGGTGTTAGCTGTGCTGTTCTGACTGCCTCATTGTCCTGAATGGATTCAAAAGGTTTCTCTTTCCTGGTCATTTTGACTTTGGGGAAGAGCCAGAAGTCACACAGCACCAGATCTGGTGACTAAGGCAGATGAGGCACAGTTTCACATTTTTCAAGCCTGCCTTAACTTTGGATGGCACTTGGCAGCAGCATTCATTATTTTTAATCACACCTGGAAAGAGGACTCCAGAGCTGCTGCAGAAAGTGGCAAGGACTATGGGGAAGAGCGTGTTTGAACTGGGGGGAGGATTTTGAGGGAGATAGTGGCAGTGTATCTTTCATTGTACTACATTTTTGAAATTTTTATTTAGTGTTCGCCGTGTTTCTTCTCTGTAGTTTTTGATCATGCCTTATGTGTGCAATGAACTGTCGTACTGTGTGCTTGCGCTGTGATTGTGAGTGAAAAGCCCGGTCCTCTGAGGCATAGAGGACAGGGCTGGAGGTGAGACTCAACCCGTGGGGCCATACACACTCCCACGGTCTCCTCCCATCAACCCTGCTCATCCTTTGAACACTGCCATTTTGTTATGAATCTGTCAGTGGGTTGATGCACCAATGCACTTAGACCCTTGGTGATCTATTCACCTTCCAAGAGTGCCATCTCTGAGTACAGGAGGCTGTTTGGGGACATGTTAGATCCAAACCATAGCAGAAACTCAGGGGAGGACATAATTAGGAGGATTATGTTAGGTAAACAGATCTATTACCTCTGTGCTGTGTACACATCTGCAGTTCCCACATCTAGCAGACAGACTGGTGCTCGGGGCAGTCACTGCGATGGTGACACAGTATGCTGGGCGCTGTACTGAGTGCTTTACATGTGTATTCTCACTTAACTAAAAGGAATAGCCTGTATATTTTATCTTAAAGCGATGTTAGGATGAAGTAAATCTTTGACAGTGAAAGAGAACGGTGGAGGAGGGGTACCAGCAATTTTGGAAGCTGCACAGCGAGGATATATGGAGGATGCCCTCATGGGAACACCGCTTTTAGCTCCTCAGTTCTGTCTCCTCAACCATTTAGATGTGTTGGAGAGTGAAGATCGCCCCTTTAGTGTTTGTGGTGCTGGGCTGAGCCTCGGGTCTCTTGCATGCTGTGTGAGTGCTGTCCCACAGAACCACAGAGATAAGTACTTAGCTGTTTTTCACTTCTCTAACAGCACTAACTAGGCACACTTTTCAAACAGTGCAGTTGGCGTTTGTTTTGGAAAATCTGCCCTGTTCATTCTTTTCCAGAACCACACAGGTGGCTGGAAAAACCTGGTGATAAAGGCTTTGTTACCAGGTGGTGACTGAAATCTTATCTCATAATGAAGACACATCTTATCTCATAATGAAAACGTGTCTTATTGGGACATGAGTGTGGTGGCATTAGTTCATAACTGCAAGTTACAGTGAAAACAAGTCCCTTGGAGGAGCTTGTTTCCCACAGAGACAGCATAAATCCATCCAGCCATCAATACGAGGCGAGGGGAACAATGACAGCGGAAATACATATGTGGAGTTCAGTTAGCACATGAATATTTTCAGGGCAAAGTTGTCCTCTTGCTGGTTTTTATGTAGCATCTGTGCATACATTGATGTTTTACTCTGTGTTACCATTTTTGTGTCTTTTTACTTCCAAATTTGATTTTTCTCCTTAGCTGTCTAAAAGACAGGGAACCGATGTTCTTTTCATTTTATTTCAATTAAAAAAAACAACAACACAGAAAAACTTTGTTGCCAAGTGTGATGGAGCACGTCTATAATTTCAATGAGGCAGGAGAATTGCTGAGAGTTCCAGGCCAGCCTGTACTACTTAGTGAGACCCTGTCTCAGAAAAACAAAAGCAAAACAAAGTGCCATTTACAGAGTATGCTGTGTCTTGTTTGGATTTAATAACAAGGACCTTCAAAAAATAAGGGCTGGGGATTTAGCTCAGCAGCACAGTGCCTGCCTGGCAAGCACTGGGTCATGAGTTTGATTCCTGGTACCAGAAAAACAACACCCCCCCCCCAAAAAAAACAGGGACCTTTCTTGGATTTTTAAAATATAGTTTTGTTTTTTGAGCTAGGGTCTCGCTGTATATGTACAGGCTGATCTTGAATATACTCAGGGATCTTCCTGTATCTGCTTCCTGATGCTATGAATACAGGCATGCACCACCATGCCCAGTCCTTTTTTGAAATATACTTTTTACCTAATTGTGGTTAAAATGCAGAAACTTATGATGCCAGGTATTCTTTCCTCGTATACAGAAGGCAAATGGAGTGTGAATTCTTCCCAGCACCTTGTTAGGTGGAGGGAGGACCTCTGTTAGTTCTGTCTGTCTGGTGTTCTCGAGGGATGGCAAACCCACTCCATTCCTATGCCCTGTTGGTAGAGATGTTCAAGAGACAGAAACTTCACATGTTGGGAATGTGACGTGCGCTATGCCCCAGGTCTAGGATGGCAGTGTCGAGTGAGACCCTGCCTCTGACTGAGGGGCGTCCAGAGTCCTGCTGGCCAAATAGTTACATGCACAGCAATACGCTGTGACAGATATGACCAGAGGTATGTCTGTAGCCTCACTGGGCACATAGAAAGGAGCGGTCAGCTTTGATCGTGTTGAAGAAGGCATGGTGACAGTCACAAGAGGCCTGGTAGGAGCAGGAGGTCAGAGAGCGCTGTCCAGGCAGAGGCAGCTGTGTGTGTGGAAGACGTGTGTGTGCCAGGGTGGGTTGGGGGGCACGAGTGGTTCTGCTTTAGTGTTCAGCGAGCCTCCATGCTGTTTTCCACATGGCTATTCTGAGTGTGTTCCCAGCAGCAGCCTACAAAGCCCTTCTGTTTACATCCTCATCAACACTTGGGGTTCGCCATTCTTACCCACTCTTGGGAAGCTGATCCTCACCAGAGTTTGATGAGGGTTCCCCTGGTGATCACTGGTATTGGGCATTTGCTCATTCCCTGTTGGCAAGTTGTGTGCCTTCTTTTGAAAAACATGGATTTAGATCTGTTTTCCATTGTAAAACTGAATTGTTTTCTTGTTGTGTTTTTGGTTTCTGTATGAATATCTAGGTATTAGCCCTTTGTCAGATGGGTAATACTTTCTCTTATGCTGTAGGTTTTGCTTTCATGTTGATTATTGTTTTCTTTGCTGTGCAGAAGCATTTTTAGTTTGATCTAATCTTATTTGTCTATGTTTACATTGGTTTCCCGTACTTTATCAGCCTCCGCCCTGCCACTCACCCTGTCCAAGGTCCTGAAGTGCTTCCCCGTGTTTCCTGCCAGCAGTTTCCTTGTGTTGGATCTCACACTTAAGTCGCTAGCCTGTCTTGAGTTAATGTTTGCAGCTGGTGAGATCAGGGGTCCAGTTTCATTCCTGTGTTTGTGGATACCCAGTTTTGCAGCACCGTTTATAGAAAGGTTGACCTCTCCCGAGGCATGCTCTTAGCGCCTGTGCTCAGAGTGAGCTGGCTGGAGATGTGTGGCTTTACATGTGGGCTCATTACTGTGTTCCATTGGCTCCTGTGTCTATTTCTTTTCCCAATATCGTTCCATTTTTATTACCTGGGCTTTGTAGTTCATTTGGAAATCAGGTGATGTGATGTTTTTGTTCTTTTGCTCAAGATTTTTAAAAACATGGTTCTATACAAATTTTAGGAACCTTTTTTCTAGTTCTGTAAAGAATGTTATTAGTATTTTAATAGGGTTTGCATTGAGTCTATAGATCTTTTGGGTAGTTTTAACAATATTGATTCTTTCAATTCATAAACATAGAATTCCTTTCTATGTTTTGCTTTCCTCTTCAGTTTCCTTCATCAAAATTAATAGTTTTCAGGCCAGGCATGGTGGCAGGTGCCTGTAATCCCACCACTCACAAAGCGGAGGCAAGAAGATTGTCACAAGTTTGAGGCCAGCCTAAACTACAAAGTGAGACCCTGTCACAAGAAACAAACAAACAAACAAATAATTCATAGTTTTCATTGCAAAGATCTTTCACCTTTTCTTTGATTAAATTTATTCCTAAGAGTTTTGTTATTATTTTTTGTAGCTATTGTAATGGGATTGCTTTCTTGGCTTATATTTCCGACGATCCATTGTTGGCATGTTGCAGCACTACTGGTTTTTTGTTTGTTTTTGGTAGTGCTGGGGATTGACCCCACAGGAGGTCATTTACTGCTCAACCACACCCCTGCTCATGCTGCTGATTTCCCTGTGTTGATTTTGTATCCTGAGACTTCACTGAATTAATATATCCTGAATACTTTTCTTGGTGGACTCTGGGGTTTTCCATATGTAAGGTCCCGTTGTCTGCACACAGTGACAGTTCAACTTCCTCTTCCTGAGTTGGGTGCCCCTATTTCTCTCTCCTGTGTGACTGCTCTGGTTAGGACTGCCTGTACTGTGTTGAATAGCAGTGGTAAAGGTGGGGACCTTGTGTAGTTCCAAATCTTTTTTTTTTTTTTTGGTACCAGGAATCGAACTCAGGACCTTGTGCCTGCCAGGCAGGTGCTTGTGCCACTGAGCTATCTCCCCGGCCCCTAGTTCCAAATCTTTGAGAGAAAACATTCAGCCTCTTGCTGTGCAGCACAGTGTAGCTGTCAGGTTATTGTGTGTGGCCTGTACTCCAGTGAGCCCGTGGACCTACTCTGCTTAGTGTTCTTGTCATGGGGCAGGTTGTATTTTATCAGATGCCTTTTCTGTAGCTCTTGAGGTTTTTTTGTTCTTTGTGCTTATAGATTTGTGATTTAAAAATACAGTGAATGCTTAAAAAATTATTACAGTAGAAGACATTCCATACCTCCCCCTCTGCTTTGAGCACACCTATCTCATTGTTCTTGCATCTTTCTGAAGAAGCTGTGGAGGTCCTCCTCAGTGGCTTTAGTTGCACTGTTGTGGCTGCCTCAATGTCTTGAATTGATTCAAAGTGTTTCCCTTTTGTGGTCATTTTGACTTTGGGGAAGGGCCAGGAGCCACCCATGCCACATCCTGCAAATATCGTGGAAGAGGACACAGCCTAATGTTTTTATTATGTATTTATTTATTTCCATAAGTGTGTGGTACCAAAGTATGGGAAAAACATATGATGAATGTGCAAATTAAAGAATTGGTAGAGAGAGGGCACTTGTCCTCCTACTTATTTCTTTAGTCCTGAGAATCTGATCACAGGAAATGGGAGCAAAGGAAATAAGCAATAAAAACTTCAAACCTAACACGGTTTAGAGTTTCTCAAGCCTCTTTTTTCTTCTCTAATAGCTAGCAGCCTTTGTATTGTACTGAAAATTTCAGAACAGGAAAGAATCAAGGAGCTGGATTAGTATGAAGGTATTGACTGTTGAAGTCTTGTGGTTGTGTGATTGACTAAGAACAGTTCTGGATTTGTCTGCCTCTGCGCCTCTCCTCCTCTCTTTCTCAGATGGTGTTAGCATCGGTGTTTCATATATTTAACAGGTCTCAGTTGAACTTTTTATTTTTTGGTGTTAGAGCGGCTAAACTCATTGGACTGGAATTATTTTCTATACTTTCTGTCAGCTTCTTTTTGGTATCTGTTTCCTAAGCATTTTGCAGTGTTCTAATCATGAGCCATTTCCCTTTCCCGGTGAGGGAAGGGTGTGTGATCGTTCACATCTTGTCGCTGTGCTTTGCTGCTGAATGAGGCATTAGGCAGCTTCAAAAAGCAGTGTGATATGCTTACTTTAACTGCAATTACTAAAAGTGCTAACAACTTTTATAACATCATTGCTAAGAGCACTTAATTTCTTCTCCTTCTAGTTCCCAAAGACCCCAAACCCCAGTGGAGACGGGTAGCATGGAGCTACGATTGCACGCTGCTGGCCTATGCGGAGAGCACTGGCACTGTGCGGGTATTCGACCTCATGGGAAGTGAGCTCTTTGTCATTGCTCCGGTAAGACCTGCCACACACTGATGACTTTTTGGGTGTGCGTGCCATCTTTGCATAGATGCTTCAGTGGAGGAATGTGAAGAGGGAAAAGACAAATATAAATCAGAATAGTAAACTCTGAAATTAAGACACTGAGAATCTAGCCAGAGATCTGTGTCTGTGTAGTACTTAGTCTTGTGTTTCATAATGTGCTGTGCACATGTAAACATCTGGTAGTGAGTGAATTCTAACTGGAGGCCATTAAAACCAACTCTCGTGAGGAGGCATGTATGAAACAGGAGGGTTTACTCAGCCATTGGAGGCCACCAGAAGAATAAAGGTGCCGAAGCAAGTGCTTTGTGAACTTCAGAGAAGGAAAGTAGCCTTCACATTTTCCCTGTATGAGCGTGGGGAGCAAGAGCAGAATAAGGTGAGCCTGGGCAGGCTGGGGACCGGAAGCCAGGTAGTAAAGAGCCCTCACTTCTGGCCCGTTGGGGTTTAAGTCAGGATTTCAGTGTTGACCGTCTTTTGGTTGTCTTTTGCTCATCACCATCAACTGAGTGACACCCTTCTCTGCCCTCCAGCCCGTCCTCTTCTGGCTCTTTTCAGTAATTTTAGGACAACTCATGGTTTTTGTCATGGCACAAAATGTTATAAAGCTCCATCAATGAAACTTTAGTAGCAGGAACCACTTCTAGGAGTTCAAATTTATAACTTTAATGGAATAGACATTGAAAGAGAAAGTGGAAAAAGAATGGTTGTAATAACTTGTGACCATGTTCTGCTTTACACTTTATTAATGATTGTACACGAATTCTCATTTAATATTCACAGCCATCTGATGAGTGGGTTGGGATCGGATTTTACAGTTTAGGAAGCAGATTGAGGGGAGCAAAGTGACTTTCCCATGACAGCCTCACTCGCTGGGGTCCCTTCTAAGAATTGCATGCTCTTCACTGTCCGTCCTCCTTCACGTGGACTGGGCAGCGGCGGGTAGAACAGTGGCTCTAACTCTGGCTGTGTCTCCGAGTCTTGTGGGAGCTTCATGGAGAAAAGGAAAACCAAAGCCAAGATGCAGATTGTGCCTGGCTTGCCACAGATGTTCTGCCTAATTGACTTGTGCAGGACCTGGGGCTTCATGGTGTTTGTAAGCTTTTTAGTGTATTCTAGTAAGTTCAGCGCTGACAGCCAGTAATTCTGAGAGGGGTTTTCATTCAGAAAATGAAAGTGAGTGGAAAATCCTGGAAAAAATACATTGGGCTCAGGCTACAGAAGTCCCATGGCTACTGGACAGGGTCTGAGGAGCTCTCTGGAAAGGGAGCTGGGGCCCTCTGCCTGGCACCCTGCCAGGCCCTTGAGGTCTCATCAGGAGCAGCATCATGGGAAAGACTCAGACTGACCCTCAAGGAGAGGAGGGAGTCGGCTTTGGTGGGCTACCAGGGTGGGCTGGGCTCGGGCTGTCACTGTCTGAGTTCCGGTTGTACCAGGTGCCTCCCAGGAAGACCTCATTGCCTCAGGGGCAGTCAGGGCTCCTGAGGTGACTGCTCCTCTTGGGCAGCTTCAGTTTTGTGAGGCACTGCCTTTGGAATCCAAGGTGACTGCAGGTTTAGGGCCAAGACTGGAGGCTTGAAGGCCCTGATTGGTTGGTAAGCATCCCTGCAGATCTCTTACCTTCACATCCTCAGCTGCCTGGTTAGGCAAATGGAAGCTTTTCGGTTTGGGCCACTGTTGGCCGTGGACATTAATACTTGAAAACCACTCTTAGAGTTCTCTAAGGCTGAGTGGTGGGGTTTTCTGTCTTTTTGCAGTGGGTATATGGTTTGAATAAAAATGTACTCCTCTACCCCTCTACCTGAATATGCCATTCAAGGTTGTTTATTGCGGTGTTGCCTGAGTAATTCAGTTCCTTCTCTTCTGCAGGCTTCTAGTTTTGCTGGTGATTTGAGCTGTGCCATCGCTGGGTTGATATTTTTAGAATACAAAGCCAGTGCACAGTGGTTGGCGGAACTCTTGGTCATCAACTACCGAGGAGAACTCAGAAGTTACCTCGTCAGGTAAAAGGCACTTCGGGATGTCATGTTCTATATAATGTTATTTCTCTGGTTTCACGTCAGAGAGTGATACTGCTTTATGTCCTTCTGGCATGTTATTATGAACTATTGGAAATATAATTGGAAAGTTGAAAGAATCGTGTAGTGAACACCCATGTATTTCCAGTTGGACTCTGTGATTAGGATTTCACTGTACTTATCTACCACATTTTTACTATGTATCCATCTTTCTATCACCTTGTGTTTTAATGTATTTCAGAGTTAAGCTGGAGATGTCAACACTTATGCCTTTTTTTTTTTTTTTTGGTTTTGTTTTTTTTTTCCAGTAGCAGGGATTGAACTCACGACCTTGTGTTTGCCAGGCAGGCGCTGTGCCGCTGAGCTAAATCCCCAGCCCAGATGTCAACACTTAGATTTAGCGTGCATATCATTAATTAGCATTCAGTGTTTGATTAGTTTTTTTTTTCCCAGTAAAATTTACACCCTGTGAAATGCACAAATCTTAGTTGTACCATTTGTGAGTTGGAACCGGTGTATACATTTGTGCAGTCCAAAACCCTGTGGAGATTCTGGATGTTATCACCATGCTAGAAAGTTCCCTCATCTCCTCCCCAGCATCTCTGTCCACATCCACCCTGAGAACAACTGTTTAAAAAACTTGTGTACAAATCAAGATGAGTTTTGTCTGTGCTGATAATTCACATTAATAGAATCATGTATGTGGACCCTTTTGTCTTCTTTTATTCAGCATAATATTTGAGAGTTATCCATATTTTATGTTGCCCTGTAGCTTATTCCTGTTTCACCAATGATTAGTATTCTGTGAACACATGGATACGTCTAGGTATCTGTATGTGGAAACATGAGCATTGCGTGGCGTGTTTATCCGTTTCTCTATAGGTAGACTCCTAAGTTTGTAGTTCAGGGTTGCTTCGATACAGCTACTGTGACCATCCTTCTACAAGTATTTATGAATATATATTGTTATTCCTCCTGATGATTCTCTTCCAGTGTGTTGCGGAATCATAGGGTAGCTATAGTTTATTTTTATAAAAACTACCAGACTTTTTACCAACATGGTTGTGTCTCTCAGTCATGTTCCCACTGTAGTAAGTTAGAGTTCTGGTTGTTTTATGTCTTCCATACTTGGCATTCCCTGTGTTCTATGTTATAGACATTGTATTGGGTATGTAATGATACCTGTTGTGTTTAGTAGTATTTATGTCTTATTTACCCTCTTAAATTTAGTGTCGGAACAAACCAGAGCTACCAAGAGAGTCACAGTTTCAACTTCAGTAGTTTTTATCCTCATGGAATCAGTACTGCTATTTACCACCCTGCTCACAGGTAAGCAACCATTTGTGCTCAGAGCTAGTAGATCACCTGGTGGGTTCAGAAACCTTGGCATAGATTCAGAGAGAAGAACCTGCCCATTCTGATTCTCCTATTGGCATCTTCATTCCACATTCCTGTGTAGTCACGGTGAAGACCCATAACACTGTGGTAGCCTCTTCTGATCATTGACGTGCCTTTTCCTAACCGACCGTGTTCTCTGGGCCAGGTGGGGTGCTGGACTTCTGGTTGAGGAATTTCTCCTGCTTGCTCAGCCCCTGGATCTTCCTCCTCATTGGTCAAATGAGTGTAACAGTGCTGAATTCACAGCCCTGTCCGAGAGCTCACGAAGTCGGGTGCCTTGTTGTGGGAGGCCGCAGCAGGTGCCCCTCCTCTCCAGCCCCGCTGTCTGTCTGTCTTGGCTCCTCTGCGTCCTGTACCTGTCTCCTCCACAGTGCTCTACCCTGCATCATGCACCTTTGTTCCTGAGGTGGACTGGGCATTGTGGCATTTTCTACTTCCAGAAATCTCTGCCCTTCAATTTTTTTTTTTTTCCAGTACCAGGAATCAAACTTGCAACCTTGAGCTTGCCAGGCAGGTGCTGTGCTGCTGAGCTAAATCCCCAGCCCCTCTGCCCTTCAATTTTGAGGATGAAATGTACATGTATTTTACAAGTTAACCAAGCTGTTTGATTCTCTTACTAGAAAGCGTGTTCAATTTTGAGTCGGATTAAGCTACTTGAGTTCCAAGTTTTTGGACCAATCAGTGACCATTGGCAAGTCCTTAAACTCTGACCCTCAGAATGCTTATGTCTTCTTGATTGAGAGTGTGTGAAAATTTCGTATTCTATTTATTTATTTATTTTTAATTTACTTTTTTACATTAGAGAGAAAAGAAAACTAATAACAACCAAGACAAAAATAAAATAACACAAAAACAGTAGAAACGATACAGAATTTCAAAACAAAGTGATAGGAAGTTAACAATGGTTGTTATATTACATGTTGTTATCTTCAAGGAAGTTGTTCAGATTACCAGATGTAAGAATGCAAGGTTGATCAAACAACTAAAGAGAATAAAAAGTAATAAATATGTGTTAGAAACGATACAGAGTTTTATTAATCAAGGTCATAGGGATTTAACAATGGTTGTTATATTGCACATTGTTGTCTTAGTTGTTCACATTATCAGACATAATCATGCAAAATTGGCCAGAAAAAGAAAAATTTAAGCATTAACTATTCCTTTCAATAAACCAATAGACATCATCAGTACAGTTATCCCAGCTATCCTTGTATATCCATATTCTGTTTATTCATTGGAGAATTTTACTATGGCATCTTTATGCTGCAAAAGATCTCCCTGTCTCTCCCCTCTGCCACACACTGAAGTCTCCTTTGGGCTCTTTGCTGATCCCATTCTATTTCCCCTGCACTTTCTCATATTTAGTTTGAGTTCTGACTTTATAGAAATGGAATCACATGCTCATGAGTCTTGCTCTGTGACTTGTTTTTTCATTTATGTTGCTCTAGTTCATTTCTTTTTAGCTTTTCATTTTTAACCATCATGAGGATGTTTTATTAATAATATGCAACATGTCTAACCATTCTCCCTTAAATGAAAACTTGATTTGTTTCCAACTACTTCTGTATTATAAAAATAGTGCATGGTAAAAATTATCATATATTCCTTTGGCACATGTGCAGGCTGTGGAAGGAGAAGTGAAATCTCTGACTTGCTGGGAGGGGGCATTGCAGTGCTGCTAGATCATGGTGGATTGTTCCATGGTAGTGTGCCAGATGATGTTCGTCTTCTGGATGGCACTTTTATTTATTTATTTACTTTTTTTTTTGGTGTGGTACCCAGAATCGAATTCAGGACCTTGCGCTTGCCAGGCAGGCACTTATGCCGCTGAACTATTTCCCCAGCCCTTGATGGCACTTTTAAACATTTGCTGATTGGTGAGTGTAAAAGATCTCATTGTGGTTTTCAGTGGCCTGAAAACCTACAGGAGGTGTGGGAGAAGAGGGCTTCCTGCCCAGGGAGTCGCCCAGCACAGCCCTGAGAGGGCACATTCTAGGAGCATGGTTGTAGGAACATCGCTCCAGGAGGGCCTTGAGGCAGTGTGGACCAAGTAGTGGGCTGAGGCCAGATTGACTGGGGAGCACTGACTCTGTATCCCGACATAGCCATGCCTGTTCTTACGCATGTGTATTCTCCTATCGTTCATTTTGACCCCCATACTAGGGATCACACCTGGGACCTCTCTTGTGCTAGGAGAGTGCTGCACACTGAGCTATATTTTCAGACCTTCTCTTTCCTTTTTTTAAAAACTGCTGAGTTTTATGATACACTTACCATAGGTTTACACCTAAATTCACCCCACTCGTAGTATAAGTCTCGATTTAGCACATCATGTATTTGTGGCGTGCAAGTTTTATCTTTGTGGAAAGGTCTATCCCTGAACTTCCTAATCTGCTGCAGTGTAAATGTACAGCTGCCACATAGCTGTTGTCCCAGAGTCTCGCTCCATCTGCGCTTGAGTGTTGCATTCATGTTCCTCGCTGGCTGGGTCTTTTTTCCTGGTCGCTCTGCTCTATTGCTGTCTCTTTTTTTCTTAGTTCAGTCGCTGTTTTGGCCAGTCACAACCTCTTCTATCTTCCCAGAAAGAACACATGGTGAAAGCCTTGCATGTCCGAAAATGGCTTGTTCTGCCTTTATGTTTAATTGATGATTGGGTTCAGCAGAATTGTTGGCTGGAAGTAATTTTCCCTAAGAACTTTGAAGGTATTTTTTTCTGATTTCTGGTGTTGCTCTTGAGAATTCTAATGTCATTCTGATATAAAGCCCAGTTTTCTTGCTCTGCTTTTTGTCCCCTTCTCTCCTTCTTTTTTCCCCAGTGTTGTGAAATCTGACCATGCTGTGGCTTGCAGCACATTTATTGTATCTATCCTGTGGACTCCTTCATTTTGGGCCCAGAATGTAACCAAATGAGGGTAGTTTTAGTGGAGGGGACAGCCTCTATTTAAATAAAAGTTTTAGAATGGTAAGTATATTCTTTAGCTAAAAAGGAGGTTCTCGTCTTGATTCTGCAATCATTTACAACTCTTGATGGCAGACAGTGTGGAGATGGATGACTACATTAATGTTTTTGTATGAAAATTATTGTAAAGCAGAGGATGTGTAAATATCCTATTGTGGATGACAACATTTTTGCTAGGTTGTTTATATTTTCTGTTATGTGCTCTTTTTTAAATGAAAGAAGGTAAAATATTCATCACATTTGTATTTATTTCCAGTTTCTCCAGTAATGTGAGTGTGTGCTATTTATCATGTACAAGAATTTTACAGATGTGAAATAAATCAGCCAGGGTGAAACTGAGATAAATTGGAAACAGAACTCAGGGTTCTACAATGTGCTGTTCTGCCTAGTGCTGCGAGCACAGTTGAAGAAGAGAAATTGAGCTGGTAAACTGGGTATTAGAAAACCAGAATTAATTGAGAAGCTCTGGACAAAGCTGTGTGGGTTTACCCATTCCAACTTCTCTTTCCACATCCTGAGTCACAGCCTCATGGGAGCCCTGGGTCCATCTCAGCCCCAGCCCCACCTTTCCTCTCCAGCCCAGCACCTTTCCACCTTTTTTCTTCCCTTTCCTTCTCTCCCCTCTTCTCTCCTCTCCTCCCCTGTCTTCTTTCTTTGCTGTTGGTTTTGTGTAGGATTACACCTGGACTCGCGGAGAGAAATCCCTCCCCTCCTCTGCGTTGTGGTGGAGAGACCACATGCAGCAATCGCAGCTCTTCCATAGTAGTGTAAGCGAGTAGAGATGGCATGAGAGTAAGGGAATCTGGCTGGATTCCAATAAAACTGTATTTACAAAATATAGGCACTGGTGAGTTTGGCGTATGGGCGTGTGTGCGTGTGATGGCTGCAGTTTGCTGACATTTGTCTTACATAACTACAGGCATATTTAAATTATTGTATTCCTTGAAATGTCTTTGTTCTTTAAAGCCTTTGTGGTGTCAGACTGGGGCCTGCTGCCTATCCACATAAAAACTCATATTATGGCATCAGCTTTTGCAAAAAGAAAGCCTTTCGAAGGTCAGCCAATGAGGAGGCGGGAGGCCTGCTCAGTGGTCTCCCAGCTGCCCAGTGGAGGGTTGAGGTGGGGGCTGAGTCTCAGTGTTTGGGTGGTACCTGTGATGCTCCCCTGTTTTAGTCCTGTGCTGGACTGGTCATGGGCAGCACCCCGGGTCTGACTCTTCTTGGTACCCCATAGCTGTGGATCCTGGATCTAAGATTGCACTGAAACTTGCAGTTCTCTGTGGCTCAGCGACAGCCTTGGGTCAGACTTTAAGGTGTCTCCCACAAACATGGGCAGCATGTTCTTAAGACGTCTTACATAATAGTTACCAATTAGCAAAAAATCCTTTTTTTGCTGGTAACAGGGATTGAACCTAGGGCTTTTTTGCTGAGATATGTCACCAGCTCATATATCCATCTATCTGCCTGCCTGCTTACCATCCATCCATCCACCCATTCACCCACCCATCTACCCACCCACCCATCCATCTACCTATATCTATCTATCTATCTATCTATCTATCTATCTATCTATCTATTTTGAGACAGGATCTTGCCTAGTTGTTGAGTTGACCAGGCTGGACTTGAACTCGTGATCCTCTGCCTCAGCTTCCCAGACTGCTGTGACAGCAGGCATACCCCTCCATGCCTGGCTGAAATGAAATTAGTTTTGAAATGCTCAGCAATAGAGGAAGGAGCTTAGTTCTGTTGTGCTTTGGGCTTTCACAGAGTTGAAGGAGAGGAGAGTACCCAGGGTTGGTTGGGTCTATGCAAGCAGCACAGCTGAGTTTGCTGGCCAGCTGTGACCAGAGTTCGGGTTCTGTCCTCCAGGGTATCTTGGGCAGAGGCCTCATCCTTGTGATGACTACACTTTGGGAGTGGCTGTCAAGCCCTTGAGAGATGCTTCTCAGTTACAGGAGCCCTGTTTAGTGAGTGCCTAGCAGAAGGCTATGGCCTGTTGAGCAGACGTGGTTTTATTTGTGCTTCCTGTTGGCTGTGCTCTGCCTGGAATGTCCATTAAAGTAAAGCTCTGGCCTGTGTGGGGCAGGTTGACCAACTCCAGCTCTGTGTGCTGAGGAGGAAGGGAGTGTGGGGAGGGAGGGGAGGCGGGGTGGGGGTGAAGGAGAGCTGTTGGAGCCGCTGGAGCGGCTAGAGCTGCTGGGGTAGGTAGAGGTGCTCGTTCTGACATTACCATGTATCTGACTGCTGTGGGGTGTTTAAGAGTAACTAGAAGAGTCTAAGGATTGCCAACAAATAGACATGGTAGATGTAAATAGTTGGAATTGCTGAGAATTACCTGATTGACCATTGTGCTGCACTCTATGAGCGTGCTTGTAGGCTTTGCATCTTTTGAAAGAATGAGGGTTCATTTCCTTCAGCAGATGGTGATCAGTGGCTCCTCTGGACCAGAACCAGAGCCATGTCCTCACAGCTCCGCAGTTCCCTGCCTGCAGCTCTGTCAGTGCAGTTGACTTGGCTTTGCCAAAGCCTATGAAAGAGAAGGTGAATGGAGGCCTTGGAACATTGTCTATTGTCTGTGGTTCCACTTTCAGCAGCTAGGTCAGGGCCTGGCACATAATTGGTGCTCAGCAGATACTTTCAGTAAATGAACGAAAACCCAGCTTTGGGAGAATTAAAGTTTAAGGCTCAGGTGGACATGGCATAAATAAAAGAGCTACAACAGGTTATGTTCAGATTTTTCTTGGGTGAAATTTTAGTCTCATTAACTCATGAGAGTATGAACTTCACGAGGAAGGGAAGCTTGTTCTTTATGCTGTCATTCCTGTACTGCTGGCACAGTACCTTGCAAATTTTAAACACTCCCGAAATTGATGCTGCCCTGACTTCAGTGGAAGTCGGTGATGATAGAGAAAGTTATGGAGCTGGTTACCGGATCCTTACGTGTGCCGAGTCGGTCATCACACACTGTGCTGTGGTGCCCTAATGCTGCTGTGTGTGTGTAGCATCCAGGCTCCTGGGGCTTAGAAGCTTCCCCAGGATGGTGGGACTGTTGAGCAGACTCCCGTCTTCTGTCTCGAGGCCTGAGGGCTTTTCTCTGGGTGAGGGCTTGGCACACTGCCTCATCTGCCCTATTGCCAACAATACAGTTGACGTTTTTTAGGTAGCTGGAAAATACTCAAAACAATACTTGGTGGCTCATGAAAATTCCGTTCAGGTGTCTGTAAGGCTTCGTAGATACACAACCACCCTTCTTTTGACACCCTGTACGTGGTGTTTTTCATGCTGTCCCATACATGGGGCATTGTGAATAGGCTGTGGCCCACCAAGCTTGAAGTATTTATGAGCTGTCCTTTTTGAGAAACTGTTTGCTGAACTGTTCTGTGCCATCCAACATCCGTGAGTCCAGTTCTGCTGGGGAGGGGTACAAAGCCAGGAGGATTGAATTTTATACATGTTCCCATATTTGATTCTCAATTCTAACTTATGTCTTAAGGAATTTATAGCCAGATGCCATTCAATTTTAAGCATATTATGTATCGACTCATCAAGTTGCAAGGAGAATGATTTCATTACCAAACTAAGCAAGCAGGAAAAAATTCGCTGTTTTTAATAAGCAATCCTGCAACCTAACTGATTTCTGTGATCATCCTTAAGCATGTGCTGACTGTGCAGTCAGGTGCTTCATAATTTGACTGATAATGAGCTGTCTCCCAGGGCCCAGATAGTCTCCTTAAATATCACATGAAGTGGATCCCATGTCTGGTCCTTGACCAGCAGCATTAAGATTCCTGGAGGAGGAGTTAGAGGGGAGATTCGGCTCTCCCATTCCTGCCTCCTGAGCGGCCCAGAGTGTGTATGCCAGCCATCTGGGGTTCTGATGCATTCTTGCTGTTTGAGAAAGGGTGACTTTGTCTTGATTATGTGTGCTTTCTTCTTTTTTTTTTTTTTTTTTTTTTGTTTTTTCTCCGGTACCGGGAACCGAACTCACGACCTTGCGCTTGCCAGGCAGGCGCTTTTGCCGCTGAGCTAAATCCCCAGCTCCATGTGTGCTTTCTTCTAAGTTCTTCATCTAGTTGGTAAACATAAGCAGAGTTTAATAAGAACACTGAACCAGTAGTAATGAATTAAACAGGTGGTGTTTCAGGTTTCCCAAGGGAGGAACTGCTTGAAGCTCTGAGGGTTCAATCACATGTGTGGAGTCTTAACTTTGACAGTTCTAGTCCTGTTGAACCCATCTAAGCCAGGGCTGCCACTGTGCTAGATCAGGCACTGGGCCAAACCCCAGCCCTTTCCACATTTTGAAATCGTGGCACACAGACCTTCCCTTCCCCTCCCTGTCTCCCTTCCTGCTCTCTACCTTGGCACACCGGACCATGGGCAGAACACACAGAAGTTCTCACTGTTCTAAACTTCCTGCATTGTCCTTTGGCTAGAAGGAGTTCTAAGCCACTAGGGGGAAGATTCTTCCAGCCAGTGTTAGGTTGCAGAACCTTCTCGGTAACCCTTTGGGATTGTTTTGGGAATTGTTTTCCATGTGGCTCCCAACTTCAGTGTCCTCAGCGTCACATACGGTGGTGCTCAGGTCTTGCACCCTATCTTTGCTGGGTTTCTCCCATGTCAGGGTTACCGTCACTGTTCTTCTTTGGCCTCTGCCTTTATTCAGTTCTTTCCCTGTATGTGTGTACATACATGCTTTCTCTATCTCCTATCCCTTAGTTTATTTCTGTGGTCCAGTGTCTGTTCCTGCTTTGAGCTTCTGACTCTTCTGGCTGGCAGAGCTGGAAGACTCAGCCCCTTCCCCCTCAGGCAGGAGGACGGAAGCTGGCGTGGTTAAGCTCAGGCCAAGGGCTCTGTTTCCTCCCCGCTGTGCACCTGTGCCTCCTTGCAGGGATGCCCAGCTGGGTGTTTCCTGGCTGAAATGTGGGTGCTCAGTGGGGTATAGGACAGCTAAATCTCAGAGGATTTTTATGTCGTTTTGAGAATTTCAGATCTAAGAGAATATGGTAGAGGTCAGTGTTCTTTGAGGATAATGATTCACAGCGTAATAACTGTTACTCTTATTATGTGGTTATGAAAATTTTTTTCATAAAAAATGAAAAATCAAAGCCAGGGCCTCCACATTGAGCCACACCCACACCTCCTTTTTATTTTTTATTTTGAGACAGGGTCTTAAGTCACCCAGTCACCCAGTTTGGGTTTGAGCCTGTGATCCTCCTGCCTCAGCCTCCCAGAGTGCTGGGATCACAGGTGTGCGCCACTACATCCAGCTTGTCATTTCTTCCTGAGATGCTGTGTGGGGCCCTGTGCATCAGATATAGATTGAGTATGCACATGTGGTGAAGTTACACAAATGCTCACTGGTGTCGATCCAGGCAGTATCCGTAGGTGCGATGGCCGAGCTTCAGATGTTCTGCCCTTTTCTTAGTGTCCTGCTGAGTTTAAGTGCTGTTCTGCACAGGTGAGGGTGAAGTTCCAATTAATAAACCATTTGATTTATGTTGGAGATTTTGCTTAAAATGCTGACCTGGTAGGCTTAATATGTAGTGCTTTTCATTTAGTTTTCTTGCGCAGGTGGCTTTCTGTGATATTTCATTGCCTTTATCTCATTCCTATTTATAATTTCCATCCTTTGTTTTCTTGCTTTTCAGACTTCTGCTCGTGGGTGGCTGCGAGGCTGCAGAGGCGGGCATCTCAAAGGCGGCCAGCTGTGGCCTGTCTGCGTGGAGAGTCCTCTCAGGGTTACCGTATTACAAGCAGGTCGCCAGCGGTGGAGACAGGGTCCCTGTGGTAAGCACTTGCATGGCGTTTTACTGTCCTAATTAGTCATTCTTAAACAAATACATTGTCTGTGAGACTTAGAGAAAGAAATAATTTTGTCTTAAGCAAGAAAGACTAATTTTTTTTTTTTTCTTTTTTTTTGGCTTTTCTCCGGTACCAGGAACCGAACTCACGACCTTGCACTTGCCAGGCAGGCGCTTTTGCCGCTGAGCTAAATCCCCAGCCCCAAGAAAGACTAATTAATGCTAGTGCAACGGTAGTGCTTCTTTCAGATATCAAACTTAATAATGTATATTGAATTGAACTTGAACAGTATTTTCAAATATTAGAAAAATGACCAAATAGTCATCTTGTTACGGGGCTTTGCTTGTTTAGGCATCAGCATCCATGAGGGCCCTTTGTGTCTGAGTGGCTGTTCTGGGCTTGCTCGTGGACTGGCTAGTTTCACCAGCCCTGTGAGGTGGCACTGTAACCAGCCCGAGTCTCCTGACAGTGAAGCTGAGTATGCTTGGGGAACCTGTCCTGGGCCCCCTCGCCAGCCAGGCACAATTAGAGTCCATACCACTGGAGTAGTCCACAGCCTGTGTTCTTAAGCACCACTGTGCACTTCCTCCCGTAGTGTCCCATCTTTTGGAACTCTTCACCTGTCCATTCATTGGTTGTTTCTATAATTATTTATTGGGCTTTTCTCTTGTGTCAGAAACCTCAGTGTTCGTCAGCTTTCTGTGGCTGTGACAAGATTCCTGAGACAGACATTTGCTAAGGAGGAAAGGTTCATTCTGGCTCACAGTCTCAGAGGTTCAGTCCACAGTGGCTTGGTCCTGTTGAGACACAGTCCATCATGGCTCCTGGGAAGTAGGTAGAGAAGGAGGGAGAGGGTGAGGTCCTAGTGGTTCTTTCAAGGGCACAGTGCCCAAGGGTGTAACTTCTTCCCCTATACCCTCACCTCCCAAAGGCTCCCCACTTCCCAATAGCCCCACTGGCTGGCAGCCACCCTCTAATACATGTGTCTTTGGGGACCTCACCACACCATGACACACCATGACAGCTAATCTCCATGGCAGCTTGGAGAGTTCAGAGCTCATGAGTTCCGTGGGGCCCCATTGAGGGAAGCAGGTCACTGGATATCTGTCTTTGAAGGCCTTATCTTGTCTCTGGCTCTCCCTTTCCCTCTGCTTCCTGACTGCCTTAATGCAGGGGGCCAGCCTATGAGCTTGTACCTGGCCAAGATGAAACACAAAGGGCAAAACACAGAGACACAGAATTAGGTTAAAATGTGGGGGCCAAAAGCCTCTTGTTTCCCTTCGACAAAGAGCACGGAGTGACTGGTGTACCTTGGCTTTGTTTATTCAAACACAGGCACAAGCAATAAGAGTAAAACAGGATTCATCTGTCTTCCACCATCCATGATACATGTTCGAGTAAACAACAACGTCTCAACTGTATTAACTTTCCCTGCAGCGTGTCAGCATGCACTCATGCTGCCTTTCTCTCTAGTGCTCACAGAAGAGGCCAGTTAGGGCTTAGTCTTCCTAGCTGGTCTTCCATACCTTGTGGTAGGCAGCTTTCCTTGGCCATACTCTCCTGCCATGTTTCTGCCTCACCACAGACCTCAAAGCAATGGAATAGCATGCCAGGGACTGAACCCTTTGAGTCTGTAAGCCAGAGTCACCTTTCCTCCTTTGAGTTGTTTTCTCAGTATTTGTCATGGCAAAGGGAAGCTGACTAACACAGCTCCTTTTGGCTGTAGTAGTCAGTGTAGGCTTGGCCCCTACACCTTTGTGATAATTCAGACAGTCCCATAAACAATCAATGAAAAGTCCTAATATTTCTGTTACTTGCCACATAAAAATTGATACTTTACTTGTGACAAAGCCTGCAGTTTCTGTCCTCGGTGGCTTGTTCCAGTTGATGATAATACTCATGGAGGGCCCTTTTTGAGACCCCTCTGTCTCAATTTATGACCTTAGAAGGGAAGAGAGTAGTAAAAAGTGGAACCTTTTACTGTGTTAGACCAGAAGCAGCAGCATCTCTCTCTTTTTAAAGCTAATCACATGGCCCTCCCTCATTTTAAAGGGTCCAGGAGTTGTTATCTAGGTGCCCAGAAAAGTGAGAAAAACTAGGTATTGGTAGGCACTGACTGGCTCTGTCTACCACATCACCAGCCTGTGTAAATGACATGAAAGCAGGCGCTTGATCAAAATTGCATACCTTATGCTTAGCATGTTGCCTGGGATGGCTGGTCAGTGCTGTTGGCAGTTAGATTTCTCTTTAGTGAGGGAATAAGCCAAAAATTAAATTGAAGCACAACACAAATAAATGTTAGGCCACTTGCTTCAGTAATGTGTTTGCCCTGTTATTTTTCTTAAAATAGATTGATTTAAGAATAACCTCCTAAAAGAATAAATGGTTTGGTGTTGAAAAGGAGCTAATGCAGATGTGATTTCACGCAGCAAAGTGTTCACAGGAGATTAACTTACTGTCTTCTACACACAAGACCTTACTTCTGTTTAGTTTATAGCTCAGTTTATGCAGTCCTGGGCTTTTCTGTTTATTCTCCACCCACCTACTCTGCCACCTTTGATTCTCTCAGCAGGCAGGGGCAGGAGGCAGGTCTCTCAGACAGGAGCTCAGAGGTTAGCCCTGAAGGCGGGAGAACTAAGCAGGCTGGGCTGAGTCGCCCACTTCCTATTTAACTCCTCCCTCTCATGCAAGGCTGTATCCAGGTCTGATTGGTGCTACGACGATAATGCCATAATGACCAAAAAATAAGAGGGAGGTAGAAGTTACTTGTACATACTGGGTACATTATTTCTTATTTATAGGGATGTATTAACTGTGTTTATCTTTCTGGCTTAATTCATATCGAGATTATACTTTTATATGTGACATGAGGGCAAATCTTGGAAAGTGAAGAATTTTTCTCCCTTAAATCTATCTTAAGCAAATATGATGCCTGCAGTTTATTTTCCAATGGTTTAGTCAAAATACAGTTTTTGCAGTGAGAATCTGGGTATGATGATAGTGCGGTACATGCCTTTAATCGCCGCACTAAGGAGACCGAGGCAGGAAGAACGTGAATTTCAGGATAGCCTAGGCAACTTAGGTAGTTGTGAAACCAAACCTAGCCAAACCATACAGTGCAACAGAACACAGATCGCACGTGTAGAGGTAAAACAATGTGGCAAAATATAAATAACTGGTTGTCCCTGGTAAAAGATCATTTTTATTTTTCTGTAGCTGTGAAATTTCTCAAAATTACACTTTGAGTAAAAAGAAAAAACGTGGTGAGTGTGGAGGGACAGGGAGGTGTAAAGGAGGCGAAGTGCATTGCTGTTTGGCCCCGTGTTGTTGAGCGCCTGTGTGACTAAGTGTTCTGGGCTGGGGCCAAGGTCTCGGGGGCCTCAGAGTCCTTTTGCCACAGGCAGCCTCTGCCCGTGGCTCCCCAGCCCCGCGGCTTTCTCCCAGCTTCTCCTGTAGCACTCCGGGCTGCTGATGTGCAGGTCCTTCTCTCCTTGACCCGGGGGTTGGGCCTGGAGTCTTGAAAGGGAGAGCCCTTGTGCACTGACAGAATACGTAGGAAAAATATTGAATTGCAAGCCAAGTGCCCTGCTCAGAATGCTGCAAGCATATTTTAATTACATGAGTGGTTTTAAATGTGTCTTGCAGCTAAACTCTCCTTCATTCTAGTGAGCTGTACTGTCACGTGAGGTTGTAGGGTTGGCTGCTTTCGTCAGGTGGTGGATGTTCTCCTCCAGCCCTCTCTTAGTGTTGGCTTGAGGCTGCAGTGTGCTGGGATGGTTATTGACGGGAAGATGTGCTGATGTGTATATTCTGGTCTCTCTCCAGGCCACTAGGTTGTAAAAGAGACCGCAAAATTCAATATCTGCATTGAAGAAAACTTCTGAATTAATGTCAGTGCCACCTGGGTATTTTTATGTATTCATTTGTTCAACATTGAATCTCGCTGTGGGCATTAGGGATAGAAAGATATGATATTGCTGTGTGCACAGCTGAGTACAATGGCAGTGACAGGGACCAGGTTAGAATTCGGGACCAGTTTAGAATTCAGTACCAGACCAAAAGAAAGGCCTGACTGCCAGAAGGCTGGTGCTTGAAATCCAGCTCACCCCCTGCCAGGCATATACCGAGCTGTCTGCTAGGGTCAAAGGAGAAAGCAATTGGTAAACTCACAAGTTTATCTGATATGTGATGTTAACCATTTCTTGTCCATTTGTATTCTTCAAATCAAAATTTTGGATAAAAGTACTTATAAATAAAATAAAATAAAATTTGAT